ATTTGATTGCGTCAGGGCATATCAATCGGTAAGTTAATTACCTACATGTCCTAACACTATATACTCACTACGTTGACTCATGCAGGGCCTGGAAACTTTCCGGAAGTGCAGTTCGAGGAGCACTAGCTCTTGGATTGCATTTGCGCAACGTGGGTGCGAGTATATCGGACACTTCTAAGGAAATACGATATCGGGTGTGGTGGTCATTGTATACACTGGATCATCTACTTACTATCATGACTGGGCGTCCCTCATGTGTTATTGACAGCTCTTGCACTACACCAATGCCTGTTCCTTTTGATGAGAGTGATTTCCAAAAAGACGAGGTGGCTCGGCTGATAGGCACAGCTGTCCTTCGTACATCGAGTGGTTCCGAGCGGATGCCCACCAACAACAGCGCGGAGGACCTGGAATCAGAAGCTGATTCTGATTCAAACGATTTGCCTGCCGAGGGAGAGACAAAAATGAGCCGAGCTGAGTATCTCAAGAGCCTTCCGCCTTGTACCTCACTTTACTTTTTGCAGTTGGCCTCCTTAACGAGCATTTCTAAGCGGATGACAGTGAAACTCTACAGCCCAGAAGCGTTGCAGTCCCCATGGGCAAGCACTGAATTTACTATCAAGAGCCTGATGCTTGAAATTGATTCATGGTTTATGAATCTCCCTGCTGCATACGATTTTACTTCGACACAGACATCTCAATGCCCCATTAGCCAGCGAATGGGACTCGCCTTTCTGTTTTACAGCACCAAAATCGGAATCACCCGGCCGTGCCTCTGTCGTTTGGATCAATCCCCGTCGGAGGAGGACAAGACTTACGAGTTCTGCAACAAGACTGCAGCGGAATGTATCGAGGCTGCATGCCACATGCTTACGCTATTCCCGGATACCCCAGACGCAGTACTGCTATACCGCATGTCGCCATGGTGGTGCACATTACATTATCTGATGCAGGCGGTTACTGTTCTTCTGCTCGAGTTGGCATTCCGGGCCCAGCACGTCCCGGAGAAAGCGACGATGGTCTCTAAAGCTGCAAAGAAAGCCCTGGACTGGCTGTCAACGCTATCCAAAACCAACATGGCGTCGGAAAGAGCCTGGAAACTCTGTGACGGATTTCTCCGCCGCTTGGCACCACATATTGGAATCAACGTGAACGATTTCCCTAGCACTGAAGAGTCAGACTTCCTCTTCGATGTCCCTGACACCGCAGACTCCCCTCCAGTAGCAGAAGAGCTAGCAACGGATGATGTCACATTTGACCCGTCCGCTACTATGCCTGCAGCAGTGGCTGTTGATGCTATCTCCGCCGAGCTGGACTCAATCGCTTGCTTCCCAATGGACCAATCCAACACTAGTCCTCTCGAGATGCCGGAATCCTACGGTCTCGAGGCGCCGGATCTACTCGATCAGTTCATCAAACAGGAGAAGGATCTCTCGGGTCGGAGCTCTTATGATGAATGTTTCCCCTATGACCCAGCCACCGGACAGATTACGGGTTCATTCTTCCCACCTGGACCGAATATGGAACTTGATATGGGGTACTTCTGGGGTGATCCAGTATGTTGAACGGTTAGCATCCTTGTAAGTGGATGGAACAACATGAAAAAAAAAAAGCAAATCAAAATGGATGCAGAATCAAATTGGAAAATATCTCTGCAGTTATCTGGATTCGGGTTCTTTTCTTCTGTCGCTTCATTTGCATGCCATCAAAAGAAAGAGAAAATTCTACACCTGTCTTCATATAGGCACTATAGAGAAAAGTGATTCTTGTTTCTCTGAACATCTCCCCCACTGCACTATCTACGAGTCGCAAATTCGATACACGAGTTTATTATCTCGTGGTAGCTGGTTATAAATTGCGTTGATTGACTTTAAATACTTCATGTCCATCCGCATCTGAAAAAATTAAAAATAAAAAACCAAAAAAGATTCTATGCTATGTACAATAATATATCTCACTACAATCGAAGTACATATACTCCCTGCATCCATAGAAGCTCTGATGTTAAGCTTGTCCCAGAACCAGATCTTCGAGACCCATGTATTCCGATGCCTGGATATATGGAGCCAGCCGGAATCCGCCCTTGAATATAAAATGTGAGGTCTAGACCGGTCGAAACCAATTCTATTCTTCTCATGCTCTTCGATCATTTTGTCGTAATTTCGGACTTGCCGCTAGGAAGGCAACGGATTTTGTCATGGTTCTCCAGTTGTGACGTGTGTACCTGCACGAGTCAAAATTGGAAACTGAACTTGGCAACTAGACATGTGCCCTCTTGTTTCCTCTCCTGTTGTGTCAGCTAGGGGTCGTCGCCACTAAAGAGTCTACTTAGCCTGAGGCCATGCATTGATAATACGCAGAGATATATTTGACAGCTTTTCTTTTCAATCGTTGAATACCAAGGCCCGGTTACATACTATCTCCGCCCCATGACCAGTTCCAGCGTACGAAATGATAGTTCTGGGCTGACTCGCTTATGATCACAACACAATCTAAAGCGGGTCATTCGTTGTCAAAAGACTTCTGGAGTTTCAGGCTCCATTCATTTCTCAAAAATGTCGAAGTCATAATATAGTAGGCTATATACCATGAAGTTGCAAATTAGCCCAGGCTCGTACAGAGGGAGCACCCCGTTGTTTCTAAAATGCATGGATTGCGGTATAAATAGTCTATTGGTTTATATATAGTGGTTGGAACATCAACCTGAGCCTGCCGCACTCCAATCCCTCCGAGCAGCAGTGAACAAAAGCCGCCCCAGTTCATCTTGGGGCGTGGAACGGGTGACTTGGTTTTTCGACGGGGCTGAAGGGTAGTACACAGCGGTGACTCTCGCAAAAGAAATGTCGACTATGTGTTTCTTTCGCGCGAAGTCTGCCCAAAGTGTCCATTTCGAGTGTCGAAGTGGGTCTGAAGGAACAGCAGTGTCCGAGACTGCGGGGGTGATACCAAGGAGACCGCGGTCATCCCAGATGAATTTCTCGATGCACTCCAAAGCGGGCATAATTCGGCGTCGCACACCGCAGCCAGTGTGAGATTCGTCGATTGAATAATCAGGATACTGTTTGATAGAGGCGATTATGGTTGTGATATCAGATGGCGGGCCTGGAGGTTGGTTGTTCTTGGATTCGCCGGCTGTGTGATTATCATTGTTGGGAGCTGAGTCGAAATCCGGGTCTATCAATGTTGATCCTAGAAAGATCGTTCTGGCGCGCATTGAGAAAAATCGGATCATCTGGCCAAGTTGGAAGAGGTCGCACTGACTGGCGTTGTTGAATCCGCCTCTGCATTGGAATTGGCGAGATTGAAAGAGTGTATGTGCAGACGCGGTGAATGCGGCGCCCAATGTTCTATGGTTTGATGTGGATCTTGCAGTGTCGGTTTCCTCCAGACCCCCATAGACTCGAAGAAAATGAGCCTGTAGGTCAGTGATGGTATTTAGAACATATTGGCGTCGACAATAGATTTCCTCTGCAGCGAGATGATTTAGCTAACGGTAACTAACTGGGATTCACTCTCCGGAAACCCACCTTCTAATCCATTTGGTAGGTATCTCCAACGTAAAGATTCTTCCTCGGGGGCATCTAGCCCGTTGGTCCAGAATTTAGAGCCCACAACCAGCAAGGTATGGGTCATGATTCTAGTAAGCCTTGAATCATTGAGGAAGGCAGATATGAAGATAATTTGTCGAATCCGATCTTCCTTTATTGATAACAAAGCTCCATTAAACCTGGCAAGGAGGGCAGGCTTTGACTTGCCATATAAATATCCAATCCTCTGTAGAACGTCCTGGACAACACGGGGAGAATTCAATGAATCGGCAAGTTCGATCATCCTCGCAACAAGTGATGTAGACTGGGTCTTCAACTCATTTTCAAACACAATCCTTTCGGTTTCATCTAAAGAATCAAGACATAGAATCTTCAGAAATAACTCGATGGCATCTTCTCCGCACATGCTAGTAGAGTGGACACTTGGGAGCCTGACTGTTGGTAGCGCATGCTGTGAGACTGCGTCTGGTATTTGGGTTTCGCTCCAAGCTTGCTTTTGGGCACTGAATTGCCTTCCCTCGGAGAACTTGGTGGGGTCCAGTAGTGCTTGGAAATATGGACTGTGGGAGGTAAGGTGCTCGCTTGCCACCCGCCATTTGCACCTGGTTGGTGACAATGAAGAGTCACCAGGAGCAATGTACTCGAGAATGAGGTCACCATTCGCAGAGATGACTCTAATGGGTGATTGCTCGTTATGGTTTTGGAAGTCATTTTGGCCAGAAGGCCCACTTTGGCCTGAGACTTTGGTTGGGTTCATGGTTGTTGAGTTCCCCGGAGGTCTCTGTAACTATGATATGGAGTGAAATTGTGGCTGTGGGGGTAAAACATTGGAAGTAAAATAATCAAGGGATTCTGTGCAAAGAATTGTGATATGTACTGTCGTAGTAAAGTACTTTTCAGTCTGAAGTGTGCAGTAATGGATGAGGTCAACTGCTTGGTAATCAAACACTAATCCGATTCCATGATGAGATTTGTAAAAATAAAGGTCGAATCGTAATGTATAGAGAGTCCAAGTGAAGATATAGTAGGATGTCACTTTCACTGTTGATATCCATGCCCACCTTGGCGCGGAGGCTTGGGATTTCCCACACTATGACTAAGAATGGGGCACGTGCCTGAAGCCTGATCATTCAGGCGAAATTGTTCCTTGACGGGATTTTTAAATTTATCATGCCTCGGGTTTCTAGATCGAGCACGTGCACACGTTAAACTAGCCATTTATCTGTTCATCAAATTCATTGGTATATGTATAAGACACTTTTAATGTAAATACCGACACGAGCGAGTCTTGGAAATATTGGCGGGTCGCAAAAAAAAGAAAAGAAAAAGAAAACCAGACGGGCGTAGAGCATACATACTCAACTCCAAAGTGGACAACCTTGGAAGACAAAGCCATCAAAACTCGCAAATGACCAGCGAGTATGCAGGACAATAAGCGCAATCTGCGTGACATTATACAATAATAACCACTGGGAAGTGCATGATCTTGGGGCCCATTCGCTTTGCAGTTTCATGCTCCTGTCGGTTCTGTTCTCGGAGAGCTACCGCTTGCCTGAGTACATAGTATAGGTATTGCGCAGTGTATGGAGTTTCACAGTCAGGACCACATGGTGTGATTCCATCAGGCTCGAAGGTAGGATCAAACTCAAAGCCGAGACTAAGAAGAGGTGATACAAGAGAGAATACACCGAGTGATTTTCGAACTTCATTGAGGTAAGGCAAGGTGGCGAGTTTGGTGGCACTGAGGCCTAGTTGGGGGCTCCCGTTGCCATCGAATAATGCCAATTCAAAAATATCGTTTCCTCGGTGATTCACGAAAAAGGGCTCTTCCGTTGCGAATCCGATGACAAAGTCGGAGTTTGCACATGCGGCGACTATCGTACTCTGACGGAATTCCGGGGTAAATGCGGTGTCAATGGTGCCGGGTAGACAGAGTGCAACACTGCGGGCCAGTTGCGGGGGCGTTGGGACACCGTCATCTGTGTGAAGATGCGCGTGTAAAGTCACAGACTCAGTCGTGACCGAAATGGTGGACGATTTCCGTAGTGCCGATCCCATACTATTCGGACTGAATTCTTTCCAACCGTTGCTTGTTTCCGTGGAGGGGGTGGCGATTTCCACTTCCTCGCCCGACGAGTAGTTATTTATTTCGGCAGAGATCTCGGTTTGGATTGTCTTTGCGGTTGTCGCAACTGCCTCGCGGGCCGCCAATCTCAAGGTTGGGATCAGTATATCATTTTCTTGTTGGTCCACTGGGGCTGCGGGCGCCCAAGAGGTGGCCAGGTTGGACCACGTCGCCGTCCTCAATGGTCCACTAGTGTATGACTTCTTGATCAAGTCTGCCAAAGCCTGCCTTGTTTCCAACGGCGCATCCGCTCTGCCCATGAAATTTACTAGAGGGTTCAGGATCTTGCTTCCTTCCCACAGGAGAAATCTATGTTTCCTGGACAAATACTGAAGTTGTTCGATAGTATCGCTGGACCAGTCGTCGATGACATCGGCCGGAATTTGTAATATGGCGATGTACGGGCCGATATCTGCAGCCAGCCGTATGAGTGAAGCCGAGTCAATGTGATTGACAGATGCGTGGGCGACCACGGGCTGCCCATAAGGAAGTGTCTTTTTGGTTGCCGCTAAAGTCTGCAGGTAGGCCAAAATTGGGTTCTCGGGGGACCAGTCCCCTGCGGTCGACATTGTGGGTCGTGGAGGAAGGGGAGTGAGCATGGAAGGGTATATGGGTATAATGGAAAAGAGAAGAGTACAAGTACAAAAGAGATGAGAAAAGAGAAGGTAGAGAATGTGGGAAGGAAGAGGGGCTGAAATCTCCACTACTAACTAGTGTGATGTCTAATCCCTGCTTCAAATTGGAATTGACCATGCAGAGACCGATAAATAAGCCATAATAGCGTTGGAAGTAATCGCTCCGGCCATAGCCCCGCGTGCCGCGTAGGATAACACTAAACTCTCAGTGGAGACATAGGCCGAGAGCCGGGCGCTACAGAGATTGTCTTACACTGCTACTGAATATAAGTACGGAGTACGGAGAATGTACTCGATATGTACTAGTATGGTGTACTTTGTATAGATGCTAGGGTGGCCTTTGGCTTAACAGATCTTTCCCCTCTGGAGGATCTCGGGTTTCGTTTCTACCCGAAGGTTCAAACTTTCTGTTCCTGTCAGGCTGAGGTGCTTATGGGGCTCGTCTCCATTAATGGAGTCAATATGGGGTCCGACTGCGGATTTTCATGTTTATATTAAACCGATCGACCGGGGTGGCAAACGAGAAACCAGTCTGATAAATGGGCCCCCCAAACCTTGGAATCAGGAAAGATTCCTGAGAAACCCGTCGAAGGAGCTAGCAGCTTAGGCTGAGCCGATTGAGCGGTTTTAGCAGTTTAACCTGATAAATCTAGCCTGTTTGGGTATAGTCCGCGTATCTATTCCTATTTAGGTATAGCCTATGTGATGAGTCTCGCTAACTTTATTTGGCTAGTCATAAATGATCTGCTCATAGCCCGACAGGTACCCGTGGACCTGTTCGCAGTACTTTGTATGTTCAATGTTTACATGTACTCCGTACTCAGTAGAAGCTACCTAGATACATCCATCGACGGTGACTAGCACTTCATAGTCTCTTATTTTAATATTCATTCCTCCCCACGCTTCCTTTTCACCATCGGCCGCTATTGATCTACCAACTTAACCTTTATCATCTTAGGAGGCTATACTTTTGACTACTTCAATGGCATTGATTTTTGTTCCTTTTGTCAAGATCTCCTACACCAAGATGGGCTTTGATATAGGGTTTGCCACTACCGCTGTTACCTTACCTTTGTTTTTTGCCTCCTTTTAGTAGTTTTGGCCTATTTTTAGCTCTTACAGACCTATATTAGGCAGCTTCTTGGTGGCGAATGGTCTCCATCTTCAGCAACCTAAGATCATATCTTCCTAGTTACTCTCTTCCTATATATAGATGGTTCTAAGTTTATCAATATTTTTGAGGTCTCTAGAATATAGCCACATTCAGAACCATCAAAATTTTATGCCACACCTGTAGGCACTCCCCTATTAGTTACACTCAAATTCAATGCTTGGTCCAGGAAACACCAGTCTGTTAGGAGAAATGAAATGGAATTTAGATACATCTCATTTATTGGTGTTATCAAATTTCCATTTCAACACAAATACGGGGGTAGCTACTCAGTACATACTCCAATCCGTTGTCTTTTTTAATTCAATCTCAAACCTCAGGTGAACCCACTCCACTCACTGGTTTTTGACTAGGCTTTCAATTTTGGACGAGGTTGGATGTGGCTATGCAACCCAATTCGCTAGCTTTTGCCATTGTCTCTATAGATATGATAGACCAGAATGCTTCAATTTCAGGTCGATTTGAATTTGGATTACATTTTGCTATGCTTCATTACATGGCATAACTTGATTTGGCAAACAATGCTGTACATTTTGATGATTCTGGCTTCGTGTTTCCTGATCTTCTTTGCATGTCGGACTCGCAACAACACAAACTCCTGCTTTTTATACCCCTATCTTACCAGTCTGCTGCCTAGGGTACACGGTCAACCTAAGCACGAAAACAGCGCTCAAATGCAAGCTTAACAGGACACTGGGGGATTAATACAAAATAAGGGCAAATAATAATGGAGCTTAGCAGCTGAGCTAAGCCTGGACCGCGATTTCCCCCAATTTCCAGCGCCTCATCGATGCGGCTAATATATAAAAGCCCCACCGAGAGGACATCCATCAAATATAGTTATGTGCATAACCTTAGAACTAACACCCAAAAGCTAGTCACCTTGCAGTATCAAAATTAAATAAGGAGTTACATAGGCTATCAATCCCAAATCCGATGTGGATCCTGTTTAAACTTGTGGCCTGATCCAATTGTAAGTCGAGGATTCGAAATTTTTCCAAGGCTCCGGGAGCGGGCGGATCCCTGGTTCTCGTTTTTTTGGTGTCACGCCACGCCTCCCCTGATTAATTCTTATTATTGCCGCTTCGCCTCCCGGATTTTCATCTCCCATCCTATCTGATTTTCCCTATTTTCCCTATCCTTTCTATTCTCCCTATTCTACTTCTCCATCACCTTTCCGCCAACATGCCCGGGAGAGTTCTGCCGACGTTTACCTCCGCCGAAGTCCAATCTCACAACAACGCCAAGTCATGCTACATCACCTTGGGGTCTAACGTTTACGATGTCACCGATTTCGTCGATGCGCACCCCGGTGGTGGTGATCTGATCCTGGAGTATGCCGGCAAGGATGTGACAGATATTCTGAAGGATGAGATCTCCCACGAACACACCGATGCGGCCTATGAAATCCTGGACGAGTACCACATTGGATTTGTCTCCGATGCCTCCACGCCTGGCAAAACTACGTCAACAACAACTGTCACCGAGACAGTGACTGAAACCGACTCTGGTCCCGTCTACAAAACCACTGGAATGTCGCGGGAGGAGGATTTGTCGATGGACACCGACTATAGCCAGGACTTCAAAACCCACAAGTTCCTGGACTTGAACAAGCCACTTCTGATGCAGCTGTGGAACAGCAACTTCTCCAAAGAATTCTACTTGGAGCAGATTCATCGGCCCCGTCACTACCGGGGAGGGGAGTCCGCTCCTTTGTTTGGCAACTTCCTGGAGCCTCTCAGCAAGACCGCGTGGTATGTCGTGCCAACCATCTGGTTGCCATGTGTTGCCTACGGAATTACTGTGGGAGCTACCGGTCTAGGTAGCTCTACTGCTGCTGCCTCCTACTTCACTGGCGGCGTGTGCCTCTGGACCCTCATTGAGTATCTGATGCACCGATTCCTCTTCCACATTGACCACTGGCTTCCGGACAACCGTGTCGGTCTTACTCTGCACTTCCTGCTCCACGGTATCCACCACTATCTCCCGATGGATAAGTATCGTCTTGTTATGCCACCGACACTGTTCGTGGTTCTGGCTGCTCCTTTCTGGAAGCTGGCACACGCGGTCTTCTATTACAACTGGTACGCGGCCGCATCGGTATTCTGTGGCGGCGTCTTTGGGTATATCTGCTATGATCTCACACATTACTTCCTGCACCACCGCAGGTAAGTTGAACCTTATCTCTGATACAATGAATCCATGCTAACATCGATCTAGTCTCCCTTCGTACTACCAGGAGCTCAAGAAGTACCACCTCCAACACCATTTCGCCGATTTCGAGAATGGCTTTGGCGTGACTAGTCGATTCTGGGATCGAGTCTTCGGCACCGAATTGGTTGCCCCAGCCCCAAAGGGCGTGAAGGCTCAGTGAGCACAATGAATTCAAGCATTAATATAGGGCTGTTACTAGTCCTCAAGTCACGATTTAACGCCGAGTACGATCGAGTCACTATTCTTCAGTACTCTCCGAGTACATTGGCTACTGTGGAGTCTCTGGTTGGTCCCAGGGGTCTACTTCTTGTACAGTATACCTCGTCATGTCATCTCTTGTCATTGTGCTAGATGCAAGGCGGAGTTGAATTTTTTTTTAACAAGCATCACTTATCAGTGTATATGACCGTTAATCATAATGCAAGAAAATAATATCTATATCTTCATGCTATCTACTCCCTGCTAGACAGTCGTTTCCACAGTTGCTTGGATGAACTTTTGCCTACTCATTCTAGGCGTAAATAAGTTGGCATTTGTCACCATTTTAGATTGCTCAGGACAGATGATCTGAAAGAAAAGGCAACTAGAGCGTCGGACAGACAGGGGGAAGAGCCAGACGAAAGAAAATGCAGATCCTCTCAAAACTAATATATTCTTCTATGTAAGTAACTATAGAAGTAAGGTAGATTTACCCAATATTAAGGTTGCAAGTTCAAGTTCAGTAGGGTCTCGGCAGAGTGTTTTTGCCTGAGGTTAAAACTCAGTTTGATCCCCGGCCTACCCAAGGCCGCAAGAAAATCTCCTCCGGATCGGCTTGATGTTTTTCCGATCCTCACCGCCTCGACCCTCTGGGCTTCCAGCCAAATTATTTATATTATGCCATCACTCAAGTGCCTACCTGGGTAATTATCTCACTCGAAAGCTGTCGCACGTGTGCACTTGAAAATAAGAGCCGGAACGCGCGTTGGAAACTAACGGAAGCTTCCGAGGTCCATCCCACTCATAAGGGTTCGAAAACCAACTCTGCGTCCCCTGCCGCCATCTGACCCCTACAAAGTGACAATATCCCCACCCCGATCAATACTTCTCTACCCCGATCAACGACAGGCTACCTACCTCCCAAAATGTCTGGACTTGATGTAGAGGCTCTCCTTGAGTCTACTGCGGCCGCCCCCGCCGAGGCCCCAACCACATCTGAAGGACGTGACGACCACTCCCGCGCGGACCCCAACGAGCGCCGTGATCGTTCCCGCGACAGACGCCGTCGCCGCGACCACAGCCGTGACCGCCGCCCTGATAAAGACATTGAGGGCGATGAAGTCATGAAAAGCGACACTGCTAGTGCTAACGGAAGCCTTAGAAGCCGAAAGAGGAGCAAGAGTCGCGAATCTGAGCGACGCCGTCCTCGCCGTGACCGTGACGACTACCGCTCCAGCGGTGACTTCTATCGTGGTGGAGGTCGCGCTCGTTCCCGCTCCCGTTCTCCATATGATGATCGCCACTACCGGCCCAATCGCCGCCAGCGTGAGGAAGAAAGACGCCCCCGCCGTGATGTTGACACCCGCCGTGGATCTCCCAGCCGCAAGTCTCCTGAGCTTAATGAGGATGAACGTGACAGGCGCACTATCTTTGTGCAGCAACTTGCTGCTCGTCTGAGAATCAAGGATCTGATTGCCTTCTTTGAAAAGGCCGGCCCCGTTAAGGATGCTCAAATCGTCAAGGATCGTGTTAGCGGTCGCTCCAAAGGGTATGTTTTCATGTGATCTCCTTACACGAGCACTTGCTAATAACTTTAGTGTCGGTTATGTCGAATTTAAAAACGAGGAGTCTGTTTCCGCTGCCATCCGACTCACCGGCCAGGTGCTCCTAGGAATTCCCATCATTGCGCAACTGACTGAAGCGGAGAAGAACCGCCAAGCTCGCAACCCCGAGGCTACTGCAGGCAATCAGCACACCGCACCATTCCACCGGCTCTATGTTGGTAACGTCCATTTCAGCATTACCGAAGACGATCTCACCAATGTTTTCGAACCATTCGGCGAGCTCGAGTTTGTTCAGTTACAAAAGGATGAAACCGGTAGAAGCAAAGGTTATGCCTTCGTCCAGTACGTCTTCCCTCCATATTCTTGGCACTTTCACCTACTAACTTGTCCAGATTCGCGAATCCTGAACAAGCTCGGGACGCTTTGGAAAAGATGAACGGATTTGAACTTGCTGGACGAGCTATTCGGGTTGGTCTCGGCAATGATAAGTTCACCCCCGATGCGCACGCCAATCGCCCCTCTGGTGCTGCATCTACAAACCAATCAAACTTCCAGGGTTCTTCGTTCTCCGGACAGGGAGGTCGTGGCGTTCAAGCCGGAGGTTCCAATAACTTTGACCGTGCTGGTGGCAGGGAAACCGAAAAGGGTGCCGGTGCTAGTGCACTTGACGACACGGATGTTGCTGGTGTGAACTTCAACAACTACTCTAGGGATGCGTTGATGAGGAAGCTTGCACGAACTGATGACCCCCAGCCTTCTGTCGACGACCGTCAGAAGTTCCTCCGACCCAAGACCGAAACTAAGCCGCTTCCCATCAATGTCAACATGGCTAGTCGATGTGTATTGCTTCGCAACATGTTTGATCCCGCCGAGTAAGTTTTCGTGAACTCCATCATGAGATAATGAACGCTAACTCGTATACAGAGAGACCGGTGAAGCCTGGGTCAAAGAACTTGAGGAGGACGTCCGCTCGGAGTGTGAGGAGAAATACGGGCACGTTGTTCACATTTCACTAGATGCCAGTTCCCAGGGAGATATCTACCTGAAGTTCGATCGCGTCCAAGGTGGCGAGAATGCCATCAAGGGCCTCAATGGCCGATACTTTGGCGGAAAGCAGATCACCGCCCAACCCGTTGTGGACGCCGTTTACAGCAGTCTCTTCTCCCGGACTAAGGCTATCTAGATGCTCATCCAGATGCTCATCCCCGAGCCCATCCGTTTTTTATTCGAACGAAATCTAACCTGGCACACTCTCTGAAGGCAGATCCCCCTAACGTCTTGCTTGGACTTAATGGACGGCTCTGCTACCCGGTAGGTGCCACTCTTTCAGCGTTGTTTTTGTTTTTTTACTTGTTCGGCCACTCCCGTGTGCCATTTATCTCTTCTCTCGTCCATTTCTGTGGGCGTCAGAAGTGGGCCTTGCTACCGATATGATCCGTTTTTATGAGCGTGATTTAGCATCTTGTTGCCCTCTTTAGTCTCTAATTGAGCTATGTCAAATATGAAGAACTTCGCCTTGTTTGTAGTTCACGTAGTCCCAGTGGAGCCCAAGGAGAGAGATATCCACTTCTTACCTAGTCTACATGCTCTCAACCACTCTCACATTAGTTGTAAAAGATCTTCCTGTGCATAACAGGCGTATGTAGTTTCAATTATATCGGTAAATAAATGCTTCCTTGTCAGTAAATGATGTACTCCGTAGTTAACTAACTAGTTATACATGCCTACATATATAGCCCTGAAGTGGAACCCGTACTGTAAAGAGCTAAATCCCACGGAAAGAATGTGCCGGCCCAAGTCTTCTTATCTGCCGACGCTCGGACCATATGTGTTCTCCCCACGCCCAGTCCCTTCAACCCTCCTTTCCTCCCTGCTATTTTCTTTATAATTCGATGGGCCAATGACTCTCCTTTCAGCGAGGCGAGTAACAGGCCGGGTCTGGACCTTGGCCGACTGTTACAGTATGTGCGACAAGAGTTGCCTGCTTATCTGCGGCCATGAAGATCCTTAAAAGCAACTAGCTAACCTTGGAAACCCAGGCTTCGCTCTCCTTCGTCGAGCGCGATGCTACAGTACCGAGTCTGTGCCGCCCGGTCATTCTACAGTTAGGAAGCGACCACAGTTCCGCGATTACTTTGTCACCCACCTGCCGTCATCTTCGCTTCATCCGGATCCCCGTGGACCGTCCTCGCCATTCCATAAGCTTCCTCGCTCCGCCTCTATACCTCACACCGGAGATACCCCACAATCCCCAGCTGCCTTCCAGTCTTTAATAGACCGTGACACAACAGTTGTCCGAATTCCACTCCGCAATGCGAAGCACCATTTCGGCGCCGTCACCTCCCGCGGAACCCGCCCCTCAAATGAAGACACGTACCAAGCTGGCGTCATCGACATCCCCGCCTTTGCGAAGCGAGCTCCAACTTCGGTAACGATTAGACGATCTAATAAAAACGATCCTTTGGCCCACCCCCGGGAGTCACGCGGTGCGGAAACAGCTAACGGAGACCCACAAGTCTTCTATTTCGGCGTCTTTGATGGCCATGGCGGATCCGAGTGTAGTTCGTTCCTGAGGGATTATCTGCACGAGTATATCCAAAATGCGGCATTTGATATCGAACTTCGGTCCAGTCTACGACCTGGTGCCGAAGTGCCACCCACCACTAGCGAACTACCTGTGATGCAAGAAGGTGACCGACGCAGAATCGGAGACCTAGAGAAATACCTTGTGCAGACCTGGAGACGGGTAGTTGGTGGCTACTTCAAAAGATTCAAGCCGCCGCATTTCGGCTACAATGGCACCGAGACCACCGACCCGAGTATTGAGAACCACATCTCCATCGAGGAAGTCGTGGAATACGCCTTCTTGCGTGCGGATCTAGACTTTGTCAACGCTCAAGCATCTAAACGAGACGATGATCTAGTCCGAGCTGAGAGACCTCTGAATGAAGATGAAATCTTTCACAGGCCCAGCATGACCCGAACTCCCCAGATCGGCGGAAGCGCCCGGTTCAAGGGTGGTAGCACCGGAAGTGTCGCGATGATCTCGACCCCGACGCCAACTCCCTTCTGGCACCCCATTGCCCCATCAAGTCTCCTAGTTGCCCATGTCGGCGACACCCGCATACTCCTCTGCTCAACAGAAACTGGCCAAGCCATCCCCATCACATCAAACCACCACCCCTCCTCTCCGATTGAGGCAACCCGACTCCGACGGTACGCCACAAGCTTTGTTACAGACTCCTTCGGCGAAGAACGCATGAGCGGGTTGGCCAACACGCGCGCTTTTGGCGATGTCCAGTCCAAGCGCATCGGAGTCTCTGCTGAGCCTGAACTTAAGCGCATAGAGCTTGGTCCGGCCGAGTTTTCGTTCTTGGTTCTGGTATCCGATGGCATCAGTGGGACGCTGCTTGACCAGGAGATTGTTGACATCGTCAAGGAATCCAAGACCCCGGAGCAGGGGGCGCGTGATGTAGTCAACTTTTCGACCGAGGTCACTAAGGAAGGTGACAATGCTACTTGTCTTGTTGTTCGCCTTGGTGGGTGGGAGCGTCGTCTCGAGGGCGGCGTTGGTAGTATGGGAACTAGGGAGTCTCGCGAATGGCGTCGACAGGATGCCACTGATCCGCGCAGGTCACGGACGTGAATGGGTTTCTTCCAAGGTTGTACTCCATATATTTGGGGGTTTATGTTCTGTACATATTTTTTTATGCCTCTAGGCTAGCCATATATAATTCAAATATCTATAAAAGCACATTATACATGATTATAATAGGTCACACCGAAATATAATTTGGATTTTTCAACTACATGTTTCAAGTCTCAGTTCTTATGTTTCAAAATATCACGATCATCTCCAGGTGGACCGCGTGGGGAAAGCTCAAATCCAAGGTTCCGAGTAACCCGCAAGGACATTCCACAATTTCCTTTCTTCTTTCATCCCTTCTTTTTTTTCATCTTCTTTCTTTTAATTTTATCATAACCTTGGAAGTCCTTGGAAGTTTCAAGTGCGTGTCAACAACGCTTATCTCCCCTTATCGTTGAAATTTCTCCTTGCAAAGTTCCCACCCTGGACGCCTCCTATCCTTATCCTGAGGGAATTCGCTTTATTCTTATCTCGCTGACACGGTGTGTTTTCCCTCTCTACATCTGCATGACAACCCGAAGCTGACACCACCTAGACCAACTATCCGGTATCCATACGTCCCCTACCTATAAGAAAAACAGTTTGCTAGTCACATCCCTTTCACATCACAATGAGCGCAAGGACACGACGACAAAAGGCTTCCCTTGCCGCTGAGGAGAGCGAAGATTCACCTAGCAATGGCTCCGTGTCGACACCTTCAAAGCGCGCCTCCTCCAAGAAGAGGGCCAGATCAGCCGCACGGGAAGAGAGCAAGGAGAGCAAGGAAAACATCTTCCTTTTCACTCCGAATCTTATCGGTAGGGTGCCCCGCTGATGTGGCTCTAAGCTTCAAGTTACCATATGGTTAACACGTTCTTAGGATATTCCCGGGTCTTTTTGACCTTCGCCTCCCTATATTACATGCCCCTCCACCCCCGGACCTGCTCCTTCCTCTACACGGTGTCCTGTCTGCTGGACGGTCTGGACGGTTATGCAGCAAGATACTTCAACCAATCCACCACCTTCGGTGCTGTGCTGGACATGGTGACCGACCGCTGCACTACCGCATGTCTCCTTGTCTTCCTGAGCTCCGCCTGGCCCCGATGGGCTATTCTCTTCCAGGGTCTCATCAGCTTGGACATGGCCAGTCACTACATGCACATGTACGCTACTCTAAGCATGGGCGGATCCAGCCAGAGCCATAAGAAGGTTGATCCTAGCCGTAGCTGGATTATGTACCAATACTACACCAGCAAGGTAAGATACCGCCGCAGCGAACTAATTGTGCCCGTCCACAAGCTTATCCGCAGTATTTCATTAGGTCGTTCTGTTCATCTGCTGTTCTGCCAATGAAGCCTTCTTTATCGGCCTTTACCTCCTGTCTTTCTCCTCGCCAACCCTATCCCCCTCGCTCCTACAGCCCGTCTCCGATTCCCAGCTGTCCTCCGCCCAGCCCGGAAACCCCGCCCACCCCGAGCCAGCCAGTCTCTTTGCCAGTCCCTGGAGCGCCGGTGCCCTCGAGATGGCGCGTGCAAACAAACTCGAGAGCACCTGGCCGTGGATCATCACAGGCATCTCGTTCCCCATCATGGCCTTCAAGCAGTTCGTCAACATTGTCCAGTTGGTGAACGCGAGCAAATGGCTTGCTGAGGGCGATCTCGCTGCCCGCCGAGCCAACCGCAAGAAGTAAAGGACTGGAAATACGTCAAAGTTGGACGGTAGCTAGTCAAATATTCCGGTTCCTTCCTTGTTATGCATGTCTTTGGAGCTACGGTCTGTGTTTTCAGGGATGTGCAAGTAGACAGCGCTAGGAGCTGTCCCTTCCTTCCTAGGGGAATGGTTGGACTGGTAGTTGGACCCTACTCATAAGCGTCTTGGACAGGAATGATGGCTTTTGGTGGCCAGGCATGGTCCGGATTCTGGGACCCTGTACAGTACACGCGGGTTGTGTTTTTCTTTTCTTTCTTTGACCATTTGTTCTTTCTTGCCCTTCTCGCTTTTCTTCCTGTCTGTTTACCCTTTTCTTCTCGCTTTTCGGGCTCTGTGTCTTCGGGCCTGGTTCTTCGATCTTGTCTCCTCTTTCCTCATTGCTTCTATCGGTCTTTCATCATTGTTACGCCGTCTTATACATCATTTAATGCATTGCTCTTGTATCTGACTCTAACTATGACTAGGTGAAAGACCTGGTCAATTATAGCCGTGGAATCTTGCTTCCGGTACTTGATATTGTTTGTTTCTTGTTGGTCTTTACCCATCAGAGACTTGTCCCTTTGATTTCAGCTATTGCGCTTTTTCAAGTCCTTATTTTGGGTCTAAGAACCTCCTCTTACATAGTATATAGGCGAAGAGTTGCCTGCCATAGTCTGCAGGCAGTAATGATAAGATGCACATTCTTATACCAATTCCTAAATTAGTTTAATAGGCCGACATGACAACTTCCTTTATTCCATCCTAAGGCTAAATTTTTATCTTTGGTGCAAGGATATCCTGGTCGATCGCTTCACGGCCACCTTCTGGCAAATAATTCAAGAGCGTGAGGTAGGTAGCGATTAATAATATTTGTATCAATTAAATAGTTTTTTTCCATTATATATCAACAACAGATTTCCCCAGTTATGAGTCTACACTCATACTGGTTCATTCTCTATAGTTGTCCGAATCAAGGCTTAATATGCTGTTTTCTTTTTCTTTCTATCATCATCTAGGTTTCTCAGTTAGACCGGTATATATATAACACGGGAGCTACTAGTCAAATTTCAGCTTGGGTTGACTTTACCATATTCTTTATATCCCATAAGTTCACTCAAGATCGTGTGTTCATAAAGCAAATCAATAATCGTTTTCTTAAAAATTTGAGGTGTTCATTTCTAAAATATCCTATAAGGTAGACAAGCTGTATGCATGGTTTCTTGTTCTTATTCCAGCATCTATGAATATAGATTGACTATAGATGACGAAATATGAACTGCATTACCATTAGAACGAGTTTTATACAAATAAGATGACAAAAATTCCAGATTTATGCATTCCAAAAATCACGAGCTGACGATCTCTGCATCGGGTTCGTACTCGTATCAATGCCGTTATTGAGCGCTGATAAAGTTGGAAGCGAGGATACAGCCCCTCTCAACAGGGCCTCTATACACAGTATTTTTAACTGTATCCCCAGTTTATGCACATTAATCGGATCTTGCGGGAAATTCTTGATGATTGATCCTCGCCACAATGCAGGTACTTATAACTCTGCATTTCCCCCACTGCAAAACCTGAGTGGTACTATATCCGGACAAACATATTGATCTTCGCTTCCCGCTTCCGATATCGATACTCAATATTCAATATGGGGGACCGCATCGAATACATACCCAGACACGTTGACACAGACCTCCGCTTTTGGAGACGCCGGGATGTCGACAGCAATGCCCAAGTCAATTTTGCCGAGGGTAAATCGGAGGATGATCTCAAGGAAATGGAGGTGCTGGCCGAGATGCATAAGGTAAACGTGCAGGATATCCGGGGACAGGAATCATCCTACACACTTGACAAGAACGGATTTGTATACCTGTCACATGAAATGCCCGAGCTTGATAAGTTCTCGGACGACGAGCATGTTAAGGATGCGATCATCCGGAAGACTGAAGAGTTAGTTTGCAAAATGTCAGTACTGATCCCAGAATACACATGTTTGTCTCGAGACGCTGAACGATGTGGCAGAACCGGTGCTACTAGGACCATCACATTTGCAAATCGAGTGCGATGCCTTGCAGAAGATGGATCCTTGCTCGCTAGCAACCGCGCCCCGGCGCACAGTGTGCACTCGGATTTCACAACTAGGGGTGCACTCCACCACCTGAAGACGCTTGTTCCGGACAAGCAGGAGCGTAACCGTCTCCTTGCTAACCGAGTCTTGATTATCAATGTTTGGCGGCCGTTGAAAACCATCCAAAGGGATCCCCTCGCGATTTGTGACTGGAGCTCCGTTAATATGCAAGACGAGGGTATTGCTACTCGTTTAACGTTGCCAAATGGGTGGAATGAACTCGGGCGATATGCGTTTAGTCCGAGTCAGAGATGGTATTATCTCAGCGGTCAACAGCCCAACGAACCTCTCATTTTCACCCAATTTGATAGCTCCAAAGTGGATGAAGGAGGCTTCACAGTACCACACAGTGCATTTGTTGACCCAGAATATAGTGATTCTGCTGCAAGGGAGAGTCTGGAAATCAAAATGTTTGCATTTGTTTAGTATATGTTTGTTTAGTTTGTTCTACTTGTCAACAGGGGAGTCAAAGGACCTCAGGAGAGCAGGGGACAGGGGACCTTGCAAGTTTCACCTGGGCAGAGACTTCAAGGGCTATATTTAGTGTCCTCACAGATCAGGCACTCCATTAATTATTAAATCAGAGCCAATAGTCAACCTTGGGAACATTCCTTTCAGCTCGGGAATCCGGGAAGCTGAAAGGAAAAAAAAATTATAAAATGAAATAAATGAGTCAGTTCTTTATTGCCTAGCTTGAAGGCATCTAAGAATTTTTTTTTTCTCCACGTTGAACACGTTGCACACGTGCGTTTGTTCGATGCAAGGTGTAAAAATTCAAATATCCCTTGCTACCCAAATTGCCTAGACCGGAGACTGACGAAGGCTCCGGAACCTTGCACCCGAATACCTTGGGGTGCAGGAATAGGGTGCAGGTATAGGGTGATTTAGGGTGTTTTAGGGTAAAGTCGGAAAGTCTTTGTTGCCTGATACGATCGTCATTCGGTCCGCACGGCACTATGAAGGAAATCCGGCATCGGCCCTTTTCCAATCACCTTATGACACGGTATGGAGTCTATGGAGTCGTCATTTGATGTTTCAATTTTCTTTTTGTTTCAATATTTTTTTTACGTCTTTTTTTTGTTTCAATATTTGGCAATTTCTTGCTCTGATGGCTCATAATGTCATAATATCATATTATTCGTGAGGCTCATTCCTCAGGCGAATCACCTCATTTACACAAAATAGCATAAAAAGTTTAATAATTACTCATTCTGGGGGTCCTCGAATGACGCGATGGTAAAGGAGGCACTTGACTCAAAAAAATATTAAAAAATATAAAAAAGATCACGCCTTTCAACCCAATTGGGTACTAGCGTAGGACCTTGTAGGACCTGGCGCCATTTTTTAAAGCCATAAGGTGATCCGAAAAAAGGTGATCAAAGATCTTCTCTCGGGATGGTCCCACCGAGTGGGTCTTGGCCATTTTTCTCCTTTAAGTGACTCACTTGGTAGTTACTCTATAAAGAGTCACCCCTGCTGCATATTAAATATTTTCTTCTCTCAGTACCTCATCTCGTCCTTTGGAGGTGATGGTCGCTCCCCTCTATATCAAAAGTTCTTTTATTTGAAATCTCTCTACTTCTGAGAATGGGCCAGAGGCATAACAGACGCCGCACTCGTCGTTCCAGCAATCGAAATATACCTCCCACTGTCCTCGCTCAACATCCAACCTCGCCCGTGGAAATCAAATCAACTATTCGGACACCTCAGAACAGCTTTTGTGCGCTTGTGTCTGCCGACAACTCTCCTGACGCATGCATCTCACGTGGATCTCCGGTAGCCACCCTCGCCCCATCATGGCACTATGGGTATACAGCCTGGCAGACCCGTGAACGCTCCTCGCGGCTGGAATCAAATGGGTTGGAAGAAGCACAGTGTCGTCTGTTCGGTGGAGAGCCGGGCGACGATGTGAGCCTCTGTTATCGAATGCTTGAGTACTTCGGTGGACTCGACTACATCGACTCGTGAGTATCAGTCTCGTTCCTGATTCACTTCCAAAACATCAATCCTGACATCGCTTTCAGAACGAGTGGCCATGCCCTTGGAGATTGAATGCCTGAAGTTTCCATCTGGAGACTTAACTGGATGGCTTGTTCCGTCATCCTTTTTTTTTTCCGGTCAACAAAAAAGACAAAACAACAAAAATGATTTTACGAATTTGCGACGTTTATGAATCCGCATTCGACAAATAAAACAAAAGAAAAAACGCCATCGAAAATAAAACGACAACGTGACGTCCTGCGTCTTCTGTCGCCCACTGCAAATGCGCCCACACCACATTGAAGTGGCAAGAACGCCAGATCACACGGATTATCCCGGGTCCCCGACTTGCAGCAATGAAGATGCCTCTCACGAGGTATCGGATTGGTCCCTCTTGACCCGGGCCGTGTGGATTCCGGTCCACTGATTCTATCGCACACATGAGAAAATGAGTCATAGGCATTTTCTGACTGATACTGCCTATGCTTTGTCTGGATTGGTTGAGTTTGCGTCCGACCTCGAGTTGTTGACGCTTGAACTCCTTTTCTGGGCGGACTGGGAAGGTCTTGGTTATCTTTGTTATGAGGGGAGAATTGTGTGCGATAGATCTGTTCTGTCAATACTCCTAAACTGAAAGGAAATGGTATTTAAGGCTGCAGCATGTGGTTTCGATTGGATATTCGATCATGACTGTAGCTCTTAGAGTGTATTTAATTAGTATATATGCAGCCTTGAGCTCATTCACCAAAAATTATGAACATATTTTGACCTCTGAAAAAAGAATCCATCAAAAGCTATCATGAATCATAAGACACGCGAACAATGCACAGTATACAACAGATGTAGTAAGTACTCCGTAGTATCTAACTGCCTAGCAGACATCAGATGTTTGTGGACCTCAGATCCGTGTCCTTTCACCGCCTACAACTCTCAGGTGAAACTGCCACGTATCGAGTATTATTTAAGGCAGGCGGTGAGTGGACCCTGCTTGAGGACACGGTCATCACCAGATCAGGAAGTGCGATATTGACTTCCCCTACATCACTCCTTTGTTTCTTGTGAGCCAGGCTTTTGGGCTCTAAATAGGCTCTTGTTTTATTCCAACAATCCCAACGCGTGCTCTCGACTGTCCAAAGTGGCTTCTGTCAACAGCCCTGTGCAACACGATCTTTAAATTCCGCGGCCAGCGGCCACCGCTGTCTGTACCCTGAACCCGCCGCAGGATGTCGTCAGACTACACCTATGATGAGCAGGTAAGGATGGGACTTGATCTAATAAAGACACAGTAATGCTAACGTTGGCTTCTAGGGCCAATTCTTCCCCTTCTTCATCCTCACTTTGACCGGCCTGGTCACTCTCCCTCTCACCTATAACCTCCTACGACCTAGCAAAGGTGAGCTTTGGCAAGACTGCACCAGCTATATCTCATAGGCCCTAACCGATTTATGTGATCTACAGAGCTTGAGAATACCGCTCCCCGCATCAAATCCGATTTCAAACCTAAACATGCGGACCTCATCGACGCGCAGAAGCGCAAGCGCCTGCGCAAAGAGCGCCGAATCAAGCGCATTATCACGGTCATCCTCGGATATGCCGTAATGGCATGGATGGTCTACTTGATCGTCGTCACTGCCAGGTCAGTAGTGAAGGCATACGACCCTTATGATATTTTGGGTGTCTCGAGGGTAAGTTATCCAGCTCGGCGCGTGCTCGCCCAATATGCGCAGAGGATTTTAATTAACTGTATTTCTACAAAAACAGAGCGCAGATGAGAAGGCTATCTCTAGGCATTACAAGCGCATGTCTTTGATCTACCACCCCGATAAAATTCGCCCCGACCCCGCCAAGAACGAGACCATCGAGATGCTCAACGAGCGCTTCGTGGAGCTCACCAAGGCTTATAAAGCTCTCACTGATGAGGAAGTGCGAAACAACTACCTCCAATTTGGTCACCCCGACGGCAAGCAGAGCTTTAGCATCGGTATTGCCCTTCCCAAGTTCATTGTCATGGATGGCAATGGCAAATACGTTTTGATGGTCTACGGTGCCCTTTTGGGCGTCCTTCTACCTTATATCGTCGGCAAGTGGTGGTATGGATCTCAGCGCTACACAAAGGAGCGGGTTCTTGTTGCCAGCGCCGGAAATATTTTCCGTGAGTACAAGGAAGATATTACCGAGGGTGGAATCATCAGCGCGTTGTCCTCTGGCGAGGAATTTAATGATATGCTCAAGGGCGCTCGGGCCGAGGCTGGCCTGGCCAAGCTCGAGAAGCGGGTGCTGGCAGATGATAACTCGTTCCTTACGGCCAAGGACCGTGAGGCGCTGAAGCAGTTGGATAGCTCCTCTCGTCGGAAGGCTTTGGCTTTGTTATGGGCCTATCTTGGCCGAATTGATCTTGGTGATGCCTCTTTGGATGCTGGTAAAAAAAAAAAAGTTCTCAACAATTGTTCTGAAACATATCACTGACTGAGCCTGTGCAGAAAAATATGAAGCGGCTCCTGTCGCCCTTGCTCTCACTGAAGCTTTCACTGCTATTTCTCTCGCATTTGGTAACCTTGGACCGATCGTCGGTGGCTTCAAAACGTCTCAGAACCTCATTCAGGCTGTGTCCCCGGGCTCATCACCACTACTGCAACTCCCCAACTTCACCGACGCTATTGTCAAGTCCATAGAGGGCGAAGGTGCTAAGGAGCATTTCACCGTTCAGAGATATATGGAACTGCCAGAGGCTCAACGACGCAGCCTTACTGTCGGTGCTGGTCTTCTCTCTGACAAGCAATACACCGATGCCGTCTCAGTTGCCAAGCAACTCCCTATGCTCCAACCTGAGCGGATCTTCTTCAAGGTTATGGGAGAAAAGGTGATCACGCCCAGCAGTCTGGTACAGTTGGTGGTCAAAGCCCGCTTCATCCCGCCAGGCAGCACATCTGTGCCGCCAGTGAACCCGATTGACCTGGAAGATATTGACCCCGACGAGGACGACCTGGAAGCCCTGATGGGTCGCAAGCCAGCCAAGAACCGCGCCACCAAGATGGAGGACGGCAAGAAGGTTGAGGCGAAGATTGAAACCATCCAGCCACCTCTGGCTCACGCACCGTACTTGGCGCGCGATCACTCCCCGCGTTGGAATATCTTCCTCGCAGATGGCAAGCAGGGAAAGATGGCCGTGCCACCGTTTACCTTCACGACATTCGACAAGCCAATCTTCGATGAGGCCGGCAAGCCCACCTTCAACGTCCAGACTCTCAAGATGCAGTTCCAGGCTCCCCCGCAGGTCGGCGACTTCACCTTCATCCTCCACATGATTTGTGACAGCTACCTGGGACTTGACAACATGGCTCAAATTACCCTGCACATTGACGACCCTGCCAAGGCAGCCGCTGTGGAAGAGGAAGACGACATCAGCGAGCCTGACGAGGGTAAGTCTTTCTCAGCTCCTACCCATT